AATGCAAGAGCAGAGCCAATCCTCCAATGAAACCTGTGGACCTTGAGCTAAAGGCTTGAAGGAGGAGGCTGGAGGTGAAGGCGTTTTCCCTGCCCGAAGATACTTCTCCAGTCAAGGAGCGAGCATAGCTTGACTCTTACTAAACCCTGCTTTGAATCTGGCCGTCCACCAAATGCAGCTCGACTAATTTTTCCTCAGTGGTGCAGCCCTTGACAAATGAAGCTTTTTTTACCCTATGTCAACAAAACCCTCTCTAACTTGACCTTCACTAAGGCAGGGAGACTGCGGCAAAACTAGAAGTCAGATATGTCTAATGTAGCGCCAGACATGCAAAGCAAGACAGATAAAGGTGATAGTCACTCTACTTCACCAACGTCACGGTCATCTTCCAAGGGTAGAGGTTTGCCCGTTAATTGGAGGCGCCTGAGGAGTGGGAAGAGAAGTAACCTCCCGAGAGCAAAACTTTATAGTGACTTCCTGATTGGGGAAAAAAAAAAAAAAAAAAAAAAAAGCCCGAGAAACCACGTTTCCACATCGGGAGGGTTGCAGAGATAACTGGAGTAACCCAGGGTGACTACCAGCAGTGTATCATTTGTACAACGTTACCCCCTTGAAATCTGAACTGGCCTGGTTGATGGTCAGACCGAATACCCTGAGGTGTTTTTCTTTGATTAATTGTCTCAGAGGCTTCAAGAAACAGGTCTCGCTTTCACAAATAGCTGGCCGGACAGCAGCCCCGCAGTGTCGTTGCCCCATAAACGGGCATAGTAACTGACCAGCAACTAGCCTGTGCGTGAAAGCACTTTTCTCATAGCTTGGGAAGGGCTCCCGTTAATCGCGGGCTTGCTTCGACATCCCCTTGCTTAGCGGAAGTCCCACCTTGGAGGCTGACGGGAGCGCAGAGGACAGAGCTGGAGGCATGCAGCCTCGGGTTTCCCGCAGTGGTGCCCGCCGGAGGATGGTGCCCAGGTAGCTCCGGGCGACACTGGCCCTTCGTTCCCAGCCTCCACTATACCTTCCTGGAGAAAGAGAGTGTCGCCATTGCCTCTGAGAGCGGCCGCGTTTGGGAAGGGTTGAGAGAAGAAAAAACGCAAACTGCATTTCGGGTCTCACCGGTCTTCTGATCTAGATCGGTTCTCCCGTGAAAAACAAAATCCGGGTGCAACAGCGATGTTAATGTGCGAAAGGACCAGGCTAAACCCTCACACTTGCCGTACGGGGGTAAAACGCCGGATTACTAACCGGTGAGGTGAGGCAGACAATGACTTTAAGATCCAGGACTTAGACTCTAAGGATAGAAGCAGGGGGTTTAATCAGTTAGGATAGAATTAATCGGTAAAACACGAGTAAAATATTTTTGGGGAAATGTACAGATGCATCAGGAAAGATGTCGGAATGTCGGCTCTCGCCGTTCTGGCAACACGGGAGATGCACCCCAAGGTGCTAGAGGTAAATGTTGCTGCCAGCGTGTCTCCTAGTTTCTCAGAGGGACAGCGAATGCTTTGGACAATAATCTGAAACGTTTTTTTAAGCACTTGCTTTCAGGCAAAACTTGGCTTTGCAAAATCGCCGCCGCTTATTCTGATCCTTTACCTTTGATTACGCTCTTCATTTGACTGAACTTGATCAGGTATAATACTGCTAAATACACATTACTTGAAGGAGGGTTTTAAATTAGTGTTTTCCTTCGACCCCCTAGCAGAGAGTATAAGCAGACATTCAAACGTTGTTTTCTTTTTGGTTTCTCTCACTCTTTTCTTCGCTACCTGCAACGCCTCACTCGGAGACAGACAACCAAGGCTGATGCTCAAACAAACTTCCCCCGACGGCGAGAGAGGAGCGCTGGCGGCACGGCCGGCTGGGTTCTACCCCAGCGCTGTTGCAGCCGCCTCTACCTGCGCGGGACAGACGCCCGTAGAGTCTGACCCACTGCACCAGTCTGGAAGGGTGGGCTCAGAAAAGCTCTTACATATATATACATACATACACATATACATATAAATACACACACACACACATATAGGTTGAAAGAGCCTTCAACCTATTTGCTTATTTAGCCAATAAAAGTGGGACTAATAATTTAAACGCAGGCAACTCTTCCAGCATCTCGCTAATTGAGCTCTGGTAGTTGCTTACGTTGAGCAGGGTCTCTTTCAACTCTAGCCGCAACTCTAAGAGAGCAGGCTTTCCTGTTTCTCGCTCAAATCTACAGCCTACCCTCTATAAACGCAGTACGTTTGTTGCACTGTCATTGATTCCTACTAATGAGCGGATCTGGCACTAAGTAGCCCGTCTCGAAGCATGCAGATGATGCTTTGGCTAGTTCTTTCCACGTTTTCTATGAACCGCGTGGAGGCGAGTAGCAGTTGACCTTAACGACTTGGAGAGGACAGAGTAGCATTTTTTTGTATTTCTCTTGTTTTTCCGCAAGTCTCCGAGTAACTTCTTAAACATAATGACAGGAATGATAAAAGATTACTCCAAAGGGCCTGTATTTCCCGCTTGCTGTCACGCGGGGCTAGCTCGAGGGCCGCTTCCCTGGGGTGCTTGGCGCGCTAGCCCCAGGAAGGAGGAAAGACCTCTTACCGTTTTCCACCTCCTGGTGGTGCGGTGCTCTTGAAGGCCCTTCACGCCTACTGCTGGAAGCCGGGCTGTGCGGGAGCGAGGGGCCAAAAGGAAGAAAGTGGATAATAGGGGGGCTGCGAAAGGGGCAGTGGTGGGGGAGCTGGCGTGGAAGAGGGGGGAGGAGGAAGCTTCCCTGCTTGGGCCTCTGTTCCCTGCCCTGTGTTTTGAAAGCAGATCTCGGTCTCACATGGAGTTTTTCTCAGCCTCTGGGCTCCACCTCGCCCTACTGAGGAGGTGTGAGTGAAGGGGGAGCCGGGAGCCTCTTCTCGCTCCTCTTCCATGAGACGCCAAGTCCCCGTGCGTCTGTCATGTGATAGCAAGAGAGCAGGAGCTGCGAGGGTCTCCCGTCTCGGGCACCATTACAAAACTGCGCTGGAGCGCGCAAGCCCCGCCACAGCCACGGCCGCCGCCTCGCTCGCCTCCTCTCCCTGACGGCTCCTGGCGCTGGCCTCCGCCGCAAACTTTTCACTGGACTGAGCGGTGAGAGGGACGTTTATACTTCCTTCTCCGCATCTCTGCAGAGGTCCGGGGTAATTTCGTGCTCTGGAGCCCGTGGTGTCTGAGGAGCACCAACTCCAGTAGAGTGTGTCAGGCGGCAGTGGGGAAGTCCAGGAGACTCAGCGGCCTCCAGGAGGAAAGCGGGGACGCCAGCGGGGGCAGGGACCGGGCTCGGCCCCGTAGCCCCTTAGACTCCGTGGCCTGGGCGGCAGCTGTGTCTCCCGCAGGCAGCGGCGCGGCGAGGCAAGAGCATCCCGCGGGGTCAGGCTGCTGGAGGGAGCCGTGTGCGGAGCCCGCCGGCCGGCTGCGAGGCGGTCACGATCGCCTGTGGACCGGGGAGGTGGCGCCCAGGATGTAGAAACGGTGGCGGGGCAGAGCAGCGCCGTTCCCAGCATCCCGAGTCCGCCTTGCGCGACACTGAGTGGTGCCCGCCTTGGCGCGGTGGGATCGTGTGGCCGCGGGAGGACTGTGGCGGGGCGGCGATGCCCAGGCCGGGGAAGAGTTCGTACAGCGACCAAAAGCCGCCCTACTCTTACATCTCCCTGACGGCCATGGCCATCCAGCACTCGGCCGAGAAGATGCTGCCCCTGAGCGACATCTACAAGTTCATAATGGAGCGGTTCCCCTACTACCGGGAGCATACCCAGCGCTGGCAGAACTCCCTCCGTCACAACCTCTCCTTCAACGACTGCTTCATCAAGATCCCGCGGCGACCCGACCAGCCGGGCAAGGGTAGCTTCTGGGCGCTGCATCCGGACTGTGGGGACATGTTTGAGAACGGCAGCTTCCTCCGCCGCCGCAAGCGCTTCAAGGTCCTGCGCCCCGAGCACCACCTGCCTGGCGGCGGCGGCAGCGGGACAGGGAGCGGCGGTCCCGGCAAGCCCCCGGCGCCCACCCCGCACATGGTGCACTACTTCCATCCGCACCCGCCGCCACCGCCGCCTCCATCGGGCAAGGTGCCGGGGCTGGCAAGCTCCGAGGCGGCCGTGGCCGCAGCCGCGGCCGCTGCAGCAGTGGGGAGGCTACCGCAGTTTTCGCCCTACGGGAGCAGCCAGCCCTCGGGCTTCAAGCATCCCTTCGCCATCGAGAATATCATCGGCAGAGATTACAAGGGTGTGCTGCAGGCCGGCGGGCTGCCGCTGGCCTCAGTGATGCACCACCTGGGCTACCCGGTGCCCAGTCAGCTCAGCGGGGTGGTGAGCTCCGTGTGGCCGCACGTGGGGGTGATGGACTCCGTGACCAGTGTGCCCGTGTCCCCTGACTACGGACCCTTCGGCGTGCCTATGAAGGCGCTCTGCCACCCGCCGGCCCAGACCATGCCGGCTGTCCCGGTGCCCATCAAGCCGGCGCCGGCAATGTCCACTGCCTCGGCCATCCCTGCTCTGACGGTCTCCGCCTCGCAGATCTGCCCTGCTGCTTCCCCGGCCGCTGCTTCGTTGTTGGAACAGGCCGCGAGCAACAACCCCGAGGGCAAGGGCTCCCTCCACTCCGTCCTGGTGCACTCCTAAAGAGCAGGGGGTCGAGGGGGAGAGAGGCCCCCAGGCTCCCAGAGGAAAGGACGTGGGGCTTCAGGGCATGCATGCTGCACGGAAACCCGATCGATCTTATGACTATACCCCTGCTGGTGTCTGTATTTTTACAGTGTACAATCAGATTATTTGAGAGCTAGATCGCAGGTAAGAGCTTTTATCGTCAATCGCTAAATGTCATTAGTAGCGGAGAGGCGGCGTGAAAAATCATAGCTGGGGCCAAAGGGGCTGGCTCCGAGGAAAGGACAGAGAGGAAAGGTCTCCTCGACACCCCATCAACCTAAAGCCATGCAGCCTGGGCTACTCTCTGAGCCTCTCTCCCGGGGCGGCCATCCCGGAAGTCCCACAAAAGCCGTGCTCGGTGGGAGAGGGGCTGCAATCTGCCGGCGGCTGGGGGGAGCAGAAGGATAAAGCCCTTGCCGAAATCTGCTTCTCCCTTTTCCACGACGGACGGGAAAACTCTGCCCCGCCGTCCTGTAGATCTTGCTCCGAAAGAGGTGGGCAAAACCTTGGACCCTGGAGAGCTGCAGGGTCCCAGGTCATGTAATGTTCGCTGTTTAAAGAATAAGCTTTAAATAGCTCGACTAAGCAGCGAGAATTTAAGTGACAATGGCACTGACGGCGAAGAGTTCCTTTGACTAACGATCACCTACCCTTCCCCTTCACACTTTCATAGTCTATTCTACAGTACCTTAGAAGGGACTGAAGCGTGACCTGGCCTCTCAAGCCGTGTGTGAGTGTCCGAGTTCCCTAGTTTCTCATTAAAATAGAACCAGCCCGGCGATTCTTAGATTGTGCTTTTCAGGTCACCTTTCACCTCTCACGGACACCACTATTTTATATGTGTTGCTTGACGTTTCTTCCTCGTGAATCTGAACACAAAAATCTGCGGGTGGAGGTGGGGGCTGAGAGTGAAAGAGGTGGGGGAAAGTGGAGGAAGACAATGGAAAAATGGTTAAAAATTATTTGGGCAAAGCAGTTTAATGAAAACAACCTTCCAACACACGAGAGGTCAGTGCAAGCAGAGGCATCAGAAGTCAGAGAGGGATGGGCTAGCTGATGAGTCCCGGCTGGTTTGTGAGTGATTGCTGCCGTACCCTGTCTGCCCCGCTGTACACCAATGCTCATTAAAGCCAATTGCTAGTACCGTTATTTTAAATGCTCACCTTTCACGTTGGTTAAGAAACCCGTGTTCGTAGCACAAGTTTGCGCTCCGTCACCACAAACTGACAGAAGCACCCACAAGTTTTCTCCGCGGCAAGGCAAGGGGAGGAAAGGGAAAGAAAACTTTTACAGGTAAATCACCTGCTACAGAGGCACTTTGACTAGCCGCTGCCTGCAGCTCACCGGCGCTCGGGATGAGGACAGGGCACCGGCTCGGATCCCGATAGCAGGATCGGGAAGGCAGGTTAGTTTTGTCACTGGTTTCAGTGGGTGCTGAATCCGACCTGCTCTCTCGGTATTATCCTCTCATGCCTCGCACCTACTGTGGTCCGAGATTCCAGGTCGCTGTCCTCACCCTTGGGGAAGGGTATCGTGTGACAGATCGGCCGTTCTTAGTGGACCTCTAGACAGAGAAACTTGCTATGAAAAGCAAATCTGTTTGGCCTCAAGTGCCGGCTGTCAAAGGTTTCCCCCATGCACATTCGTGGGGTCTGTTTGACCACTTGAAATTCAACAACTATTGAATTTCCAGTTGTGCTCTCTGCTCTGGCAGGGGTATGGAGGGGGTGAGGGGACGTCTTTTCACCTAAATTTCAAAAATTATAGAATTCCTAGCGCTGAAAAAATATTACTAATGAGACAAGGATCGGTATCACGATTTGTGAATGTCTGGAAGGTGAATTGCCTCCAAAGTATTGCAACCAGATATACTGAGCCGAAACAAATGATTAAAAAAATAAGACAAAGGAAAAAGAAAAAGTATTTCACATTTTCTTTCTGTCTTTCATCTTAGGCAGGAATCCAAGTAGATATTTCTGCTGCTAAAAACAAGTTGCTTATAGAGAAAGCAGCCCTCCAAAAAATCGTGAATAACACTACTTCTGTATTAGTTCTATATGTATTTAAGCATATTCCACTGCTTTTGATGTGACTGTTGTGTAGTGCTCCAAGGAAGGAATCTGCATTTTCCCGTCACATTTGTCTAATGGGCAAAATTGATGAGGAATCCGAAGCAGAGGAAGTAATCCTCCTGGGAATTAGTCAGAGGATTCTGGTTAGTTTTAAGGTTCTGGATCGTCTAAATTTCATCGCGGCAAAACTTTTTTTGGTGTGAGGAGGCCAGTCCGGGTATCTGGGTATCGCGGCGGGCGGTAAGCAGGAGATCCCCGCTGCTTTTTGGCCCCGGTTAGGGGCGGGCGGAGGCAGGGCAATAGGTGCAGGTGTCATGATAACAACCCCTGGCGCAGGGGCTATCGCTACGAGAGAAGGTCTCTGGCTGGAGGCGAGACGGGGCTGAGGGTCGAGCCCTCGCCCATCACCCGGAGGAACGCACGGGGACGGTGAAGTACCCAGCGATTTTGTGGGATGCCCAGCGATTTGCCTACACGGGCGCTGTGTGCAGCAGGTTTTCCTCACCATAAGGGCTTTGGGGAGTGGGAGTTTAGGTCACAGGTCACTCGCCCAGAGGGCTTAGTGTGACTCCCGAGTTAGTGGCCTACACTCTGTATGACCGAAAGACGGTGCTATTTTCTGTAGCTACTACGATGAAGATTACAGAGGGTTAGAACCTGCTAATTTGAGATTGTCAGAGGGGAAGGGAAACTTAACTATTTGACTAGAATTTTCTAACTTGTTTATGCGCCTAGTTTTCTTTATTCTTAAGTATTTCATCTCTAAACATAGCCTTTGCAATGCTACACAAATTTTGCACCAATAACCAAAAATCCTAATATACAAACAAACTCAATCCTAATATACAAACAAACCCAATCCCAACGCTGTTTAAAAGCAGATGATGCTACAAGATGCAGAGAAACTAAATAGTACTCTTTCCTCCAATTTGAAAAGCAGGTGTAAACTGGTGAAGGGTAACATTTTTCACTTGTCAAATGAAACAGGGCAACATTCTTGTGGTAACTATTAGATTTTGTCTATCTACTATACCGAAACACCTCATGCAGAAATAGGTTGCCTTCAGATTAAACTGCTCATGTGTTCTGCACAGAAAACACAGCTCAGTCTTTCTTGAGTGGGTGCAGTCAGGGTGGTTGTAAACAGAAGAAATGGATGGAAGCAGGACAAGCAAGTTTATTCTTAATATCATCACGCTACCAAAGATAGTGATACAAAAGTTAGTGTTAGAGGAATGGAGGTCTAGAAAAGGCATAGATCTCACCCCCATATGCTTCTGGTTTATTTTGGCTAGGTAATATAGTGATTGTTATTTCTATTTATGGGAAACTATCCCTAAATAAGGCATTGCTTTGTGTATTTTAAGCTTATGGAGTGTGCAACTCAAGATAGAAAAGCAAATGCTGTAAGGATCTTAAGATTAGTGTGGTTTATGGTCTAAATGTGACAGCAATGTTTCAGTGGCTATGTTCTGATCTCAGTGATATGTGCTACAATAAAACAACCGATCTCATAACTGAAAATCTGGACTCCATTGATCCAATCCTGAAGTCTCTCTGGATAGAAATTCATATGGCAAATCTGCTTGGAATTTTGCTGCTGTTCCCGTGGGATCAGATTTTCCTCTTTATTTTAAGATTTTATTTTATAACATCCCTGCAAGTGCTTGAAATCTGTAATAGTTTTGGTTTTGGAAAGTAAAGTTTCACTTTGGTTTCTGGAGTTTTGTGGGACATATGATTAGATTAACCAGCTTTAGTTAGATAAATCAGGTTTAATTTTAGACATTTCATGCTATAGACAAAAAAATTACTGACTACAGGCCCCTATCCTGGACATATTTAAGTATGTAACTCTTTTGTTTAAAGAATTGGTGCTTATATGATGTTGTCACTGGCACTGGCCATGGAGGAAAGCACTCTTCTCAGAACCTCTGAAGGAAACCTAAGTTCAAGATCACTTCAGCTCAAAAGGATTCAAAGTCACCAAAATGGGTCAACTGCAAAATGGCACATGGAGTAAGTTATGATTTTTGGTTCTATAGAAAGCTATGTAGCAACAGCAAATGCAGGGTTTATGAAGTGTCAAATAAGCCACAGGCTTTGTTTTTCTACAAAGGCAAAGTCCAAGAGTCACTGGAGAAAACACATCATGAATGGAGAGAGGGAAGGAAGGATAGGAATAAACGGCAAATTTTCACACCAGAGAGTCATATGGACTGTTGTTGGGTGTCCCAGAAATTCATAATTGTGGTGTGCAAATGGTGAGTTACAGTTAAGAAAATGACAAATGTTTGCTAATATTAAGTTGTTCATACTAACAAAAAAGAATAGCCAACAAATTGGGAATTTCTGAAAGATATCCACACTGAGTTACAGGATAATAAAATGGAAAGTGAAATCCACTGTTGATGTATGCAAACTGATATGCATGGGGAAAACATTTCTTGTTTTATATTATAACAATGGGTCTTGAACTTTGGATGCTTATTAAATTATGGTAAATATCTCTAAGAAAATGTTGGCTTAGTAGTCATTAGCTGTGGAAAAAAAAAAAGAAAAGAACTATGGGGAAAAAAAGAACATAACAGAAAATACCATGTCCCTATTTAAACCCAAAGGAATCTGGAATGCATCAGGAAGACCTGCAAGTTCTTCACACCTGAAAGGAGATATATTAAAACTGTCAGAATACAGAGAGTATTACGTGGGATGATCAAGTGTACATCTTCTGTACAAGTAGCAATTCAATAGTCTTAGACTCCTCAGCATGGAAAGCAAGTATACAGAAAAATGTATGACACAAATTTACAAAACTGGGAGAGACCTGGAGAAGGAGGTTAAGGCACACTTGCTCATTCTTTCTCTTAATACCGGAACTGGTAGTCATCAAAAACATTCAAA